GTTCAATCTGAAGTTTTTAGGTTTGATTTTAGGTTTTCAAAGTAGGTTCGAGGTTATGGAGAATTTTAGGAGTGATCTAGACAAATTTGGGAAAATCTAGGATTTTTTTGGAAAAAACTGTGTTTGGATGAATTTTTCAATGAGTTTTTAAATTTTTCGATTGAATTTTTTGGCGAGATTGAATTTTTCAGTGGGATTCTGGTGGCTTTTCTAGAAATCGATCAATTTTTCAATTTTTGATTGAATTTTTTGATGACTTTTTCATAAATCGGCAAGTTACCTAGTTTTCAATTGAAGTTTTCGGTGGTGTTCTTAGTTGGGTTTTAGAGAGAAGGTAGAGATAATTCCATTAAAGAGAGATAGGGGAGGAGACTTCTAAGCAAAAGGCATTGAACTTGACTTATATACTGCCTCTGCATGACATTGTTTTGGTTAACTCAGGATCTGTATAAACCCGAGTTAGGATCCGTGTGCTAACCCACTTCAACCTCGACCCAAATAGTAAGGTTTCTTTTTTTTTTTCATTTTATTTTTAGATTTCATTTCATTTTATTATTTTTATCTTATTATTTTTAGTTTTATAATTTTACTAGTTTTCATTTTTTTATTCAATATTAAATAATAAAATAAAATATTTTTGAAAGAACAGAAGAAGCTAATAAAAAAATCTTTTTAAGTTTTCAAAAAAATATTTATAAAAAAAATCCTTTCAATAAAAATAATAATAAAATCTTTTTTTCAAATAAAATCCATACAAAATAAATTCATGAATTCTACCAAACTATTAAGGGAATTTTCATTGATTTAATTTTTTCAATAGAATTCATCAAACTATTGAAAAATTTCGTAAATCAGTTTTCAAAAAAAATAAAAAAAAATTTATCCTTTAAACTATTGGAGGATTGCTTCCTAAATTAAGTCCTACCAAACTATTGATGACTTTAATAATTTTTTTGAATAAAAATATATTAATAAATCCAACGACGAAGCCTCTTCATAATGTGACACTAATCTCTATGAATACTTTTAAGGTGAAAAAATTACTTTAAATTGCTACCAAACTATTAGACAATTTTGAGACTAATTTTCAATATTAAATTATTTGATAAATTATAAATATGTTTAAAGCTTGGATAATTTGAGATCAAACTGATATCCTTCTTTAGAGGAGTGCTGTGAGGGTGTTATAATCTTTTTCATACATAACCGTATCCCCAAACCTAAAATCTAGTTTCACAAATCAGAATCTATTTTAGGTGGTCAATCACACTTAAACAAAAAAAGATTTGTGGTAACTCTTTTAACCCATGTCTAGTGGTAAGTCCATAAATTTATACATTGCGACACTCACAATTGGTGAGGGACCCAACAATATATATATATCACAATAGCTACAATCCTCACTAGGTGTAAAGAACCCAATCCAACAAGAAACAAAAAAAAAAAAAAAGCCAAGAAGGGAAAATAAAAAGGTTGTTCAATAAAGAGACAAAGGATAGAAAAAAAAGAGAAAAAAAGAATAGGAGAATAAAAAGAAAATAAGAAGAGAAGAGGGGTGGCACATTGGTAATAAAGCTGATGACCGACAACTGAAATGAGGTTTTTAGGCAATATGAAAAGGTGTAAAGGTAAATGAGAAGAAGGAGAACAACATATTAAAAATGCAGAAGGATTGGATGATGGAAGGATGAGATCTTATGGTTTGAAGTTTTGGTTCAAATTTTTAGATCTAGAACTGTAAAAGCTAATTTGGAGAAACCTGAGTTTGGATTTTTTATGATGAGGTTGAAGAGACATTACAGCAAAATTTTTAGGACCCAAGAGACACCGACCGGCAACGTGTTGTAACGAGTACAGTGAAATAGCCATTAGGATTTAGGCTATTGCAAGGGTGGCTTGTGTGCTTGGAAAAATTTTTGAAAAGGATTTCTTTTAAGAAAGGAATAGAAACAATTTCAAAAAAAAAAAAAAAACATTTGGCTTTATAATATAAAAAAGAATACAAAAAAAAAAAATAGTGAATGAGACCTGATCCAAACCATGACTTGACCTACACCCACTAGAATTAACCCCAGTTGCTATGGCCCGATTGTTGCTGGCTCAACTTGATTGCCAAGCTAACTCGACCCAACCCAATTCAATTCAAACTAAACTTGGGCCTATTAGATTTGGATCATCTTTCCTTGGTGGATTTGGTTGCAAGCCCAAGATTTTGTTAGGTATAATTTCTTTCTTTCAATTTTCTATATCAAATGCATTTTTACGAACATACATATACATGTCTAAATATAAGAAAAAATACATGTCTTAAAAAAAATAATTTTTATGAAATTAAAAATTATTAATGTTTATCTTAATGTTATATTTTTATATACATAATTTTGCTAATGGAATAATAATAATAATAATAATTATTATTATTATTATTATTATTTAGGAGATACAAAATAAGTTAGTATTTTTAAGAAAAAAATGATTTTGGAAACACTACCTAAATATAGGAAAGAATTCAAATTATGTTTTGAAATATTAATTTTCTCAAAATTTATCTAGATATTAGAGAATTAAAAAAATTTTCCCTTCACAAAATAAATAAAAATTGTTTCGTCCTTAATTTTCTTCTTAAAAAGATATCATGATAAGAAGTAAGATTAGATAAATATAAGATAGATCAAATTGGTCATTTAAGCCTTTTAATTTATGTTTGCATCATTTATATGTCTCTTGTTGTATTATGCTAAAAAATATGTTAATTTGTAAATGATGATTTTGAAAATTAATTTTTTAGTAATAATAGTTGATATTTCTACATAAAAATAATTTTTGAAACTCTACTTAAATATTGGAGAGCTTTTCAATAAGTACTTTTTTCAAAGGAATATTAAATCAGATTTTAAAGAATATCATAAGAATTCTTAGTGAAGAAAGACTTGTCAAAATTTCGCCTAAATATTGAAAAATTAAGAAATATTTTGAAACTAAGAATTCTCATTTTATTTTTAAATAAGATGAATTAAATTTAAATATGTATTGAGATGAATTTACTTGATTGCTTATATTTAATTTACATTCGTGTCTTACATTTGTTTCATATGATATTTGTTTGCATTTCATTGCTTTCAAAAAAATTGATAAATACGGTATTTTGGAAGAGTTGTTTAAAAATTAAAAAAAACATTAATATTTTTAAATAAAAATAATTCTTGAAACCCTATTAAATATTTGAAGGCTTCTCAATAATTATTTTTTATAAAAGAATATTATGTGAGATTTTTGAAGAATTAATATGAAAGTCTCAAATAGTTCTTCAAAATTCTATCTAGATATTAGAGAATTAAAAAATGTTTCAATGTGAAAGATTTTCATCTTATTCCTAAATAAAAGATTTTATTAAAAAAAAGAAAAAGAGAAAATGGATTTTCATCAAAAAAATAAAATTTGAAGGAATTATTTTTAAATATTAGAATTAAGACTATTTTACCAATAATAAGGATAATATATGATCAATTATACCTTTTTTTAATCGTTATTATGGGTTTACTAATCATTTTTCTATACGTAACCTACTTTCAAACCTAATGTTATTTTTGTATATCAAAACATCTTTTTAATAAACTATAAATTTATTTTATTATTTTATTAAAAAGATAAATTTTTAGGTGGACAATCACACTTCAATAAAAATTGGTGGTAATTCTTCCTATTTTTAAAACTTTTAAAATATTTGTTTAGCGGTCCTTAAAATTGTTATGATAATATTAAACGTGAACGAATATTTAAACAGACTCCGATATAATAAATATCTTTTCATTGTTATCCTTAGATAAAATATTAAAAAAGTTTCTAAATTATTTTACTATTTTAAATAAGTTATTAAATTTTTATTATATCTGAATAATTTTTAATTTTTGATTTGTATCTAAATAAATTCTTATTGATTTATTTTAAATAAAAGATTAATTTATTTTAAAGACTTATTTAAATACATATTAAAAATTAGGAATTTATTTAAATATAAAATAAAGTTTAAAGTTTATTTGGATGCAAATTAAAAATCAAAATCTTATTTAAAAATATAATAAAAATTTAAAAATTTATCTAAATAAAATAATAAAATATAAAAATTTTATAATATCTTAACTCTTTTTTTCTCACCAAAAAATTTGGTGGAATTTTGGTTGGAAATGAAACATTACAAACATGTTAAGAAGGGCACTATACCCCCTTCTTACAAAGAAACTTGATTTGGTAAACCAATCACGCTTCTCTTGCACATTATACGGTAAATACTTCCAAACCAAAGAAAGAAAAAACAATCCTCTAGTCGCTATTTGCTAGAGCTTTAGGAATGTCTAATTAAGAAATGTAATTCTTTACCCATGATTAAAAGTGACCCATAATACTTGTTTTTTATACCAACACTCGCCTACTTATTTACATTTATTTATAGTTTGATTTTTTTGTTTGTAGGATATAATTTAAAATTTTATATCAAGAACATAGTTATTAAAATGGGTGTTATTAAGCTCCGTATTCATTTATCTAAATTTTTATTATGAAAAAAATATATATTTAAAGAAAAAATTGCCCATTTATTTATATTGAAATTCATATATTTCATTTATAAAAGAATTGATAATTGTCCTAATAGAATAGATTTATAAATATGAAAATAATAAATAAATAAACATACATTAATTCTAATCTTATTTGTAGAATCTAAAATTATGGTAAGCAAGGCATATAAAACAAACTTATTTAGATTTATATTTTTAATGTTTCAAAAATATTTTTAAAATTAAATTTGAATAAAAATAACATTGGCTGGATCAGATCAAGATTGAGCTTTAAAAATCATAGTTGAAGACCAGAAATTGGACCTATTTTTAGCCATTTGTCGGGATTTCTAAAATTTTTTTGGGTCAGGTCATTTATTAAGATATTTTTATTAGTCTAAGCAAGCTCCGGCAGGCCCAAACTTTAGTGGGTTTATATTATCCAGCCCTCAGCACATATTCGTTTATTTTTCATTTGTGGACTGCCCTTAACAATCCGAACGCCGCCCGATCCATTTGCTAAACGTGCAGAGAAAAGAAAAACAAAAAAAAAAAAAAATCCCGTCCAAGCCTTCGACAGCAGCACAAGTAGCCGCGGGCAGCGTCGCAAGTACCGGCACTGAGATGTGGAATTTCATCAGGAGGCGCGACCCGAATATTCATTTCGAACGTCTACTTAAACCACTCATTAGCCACCGCCATTTCAGAACCCGCGCCGTTGATCGACAGAACGCATCCCCTACCGGTCTCTACGGTTTCGATCATTTGAAGTCCCCTAAAGGTTTCCAACGGTTTGTCGATGACGCCATTGAAAGGTAAAGAGTCATTTCAAATTGCTTCACGAACAACCTCAACCTTTTTAAAGATTTTGCATTGTCAAGTTTGGCTGCTTTGAACTTCAAAACTTCTGTGAGCTTTAAATAGTTAGTAGCCTACGTGAATAATTAGTTGTTATATGATTTTATGTTTGTTTCAAATTGTAATCAATTTATTCTTTTTACGGTTATTAGGTCCGGGGAGCTGGTTGATTATATAGCTGGCATGCCATCTTCGGCTGAAATCATCCGAGCCATGGATGAGATTTCGGACACAGTAGGTTCTTTGCTATATTCATATTTCTTTTCTTTGTTAATATCACTTTTAAGAAATGCCTTAAGTGAAAGTTTGATTTTGTAGGTCTGTTCTGTTGTTGATTCCGCAGAACTATGCAGACAAACTCATCCGGCTAGGTTTTTTTTTTTTTTTTTTTTTTTTTTTTTTAAATTTTGAATGATAAGGTTAAACGTGTTTTTATCATTTTGTTTTACTTTTAATTATATATTATAAATTTTGTTGTTTCAGAGGATTTGTCCAGGAGGCTAACAAAGCGTCGATGAGAATTAATGAATATCTACATGTGAGGTGACCAATGATGTTAACCATAGGCGATCTATTTCCCTTATGTTTGTGATTTGTTAAAACAACGATAGGATTTTTTTCCATAATAGGTTATGGGGAATAATTTCTTTTGAGGAAAACTACATTGAACAAGAAAATTTTGATGTAGGATACTTGGTTAAAGTAGCATGTTTTGCATCAATTTTAAATTTCATGTGCATGGAGGATTTTTACGTGCTATTGGGCAATAACAGCTTTGTTGTGTTTTCTTGTCATTACAGTTTCTTAATACAAATCATACTCTTTATAATGCGGTGAAAAAGGCAGAGCAAGATGGTCATTTGCTTACAGAGGAAGCTCATAGAGCTGCTCTCCACTTACGTATTGACTTTGAGAAGGGTGGCATTCATCTCCCTTCTGGTATATATCCTTTTGATACTGTCAATCAGTTATGTTGAACTTATTTTTCCTCTTTAGGGACTAAAATGTAAACATCCACTTGGTATTGCAGGAAAATTAGATAGAGTGAATCAGCTAAATCTAAATGCTCTTCAGCTATGCAGGGAGTAAGCACATTACCCTTTTTCTGGTGTTCTGTCTACATCTTAGTAGCATTACCACAATATTATTGGAGCAGGTGGCTACTGGATTTTGATTTGTAATTTGTATGCTATCGCATCCTCCCAGGTATGGTGAAAATATTATTACTGACCCAGGTCATGTGGATATATTCCCAGCATCATGCATCCCAAGACAAATACAACATCTCCTTAAGCCTATCTATCGCCTAAAATCCGGAGTGTCAAAGGATTCATTAGGCTCATTAGATGATGAACAAGCAAAGGGTTTCCAGATCATAACAGAGCCACGTACTCTATTCTCCGTTTTACAATTGACAGCAGATGATCAGGTAGCTTTCATCATTTGGATCCAAGAAATCAATGACTCTTTTCTGCATTTTGTTAAAATTGAGACTTGCACAATTAGCAAAATCAGTGTTCCAGCCGCGAGATTTTGACAAATAACATCATTCAGTTATTCCTATTTATATGTTCTCTCTAATAAGTTTACTTAGGCAAAACACTGAGTTTCCTTTCTTTTTTTTTTTTTTCTAAGAGTAGAGGAGAATTTTAAAGGGTATCATTTAATTATTGTTATTTGCAAATTGTAGTCTTGTAGAAGTAACAAAGTCTACCACTTCACTTACTTTCTCAGGTTAGGAAAATGGCATATTTGAAAGGTAACTCTGTCCCGCATGCAAACCACGAAGTTCTTGATAAACTTATAGCTTCTAGACATGAGCTTGCTCAGGTAATTTATAATCATGTATGTAGTTTGGCAAAGAGCAACAATGAAATTGTATTTTATATAGTGTGATGATTTGATATGGCAATCACTTAATGACTATGTGAATGTTTTCAGAATGTTGAATGTATTACTATAAGATATTTCTAAACTTTAAAAATTGAAGAAGTCACCCTGAAATTGGATTCTTAAACTTGTTTAGTTTTTCTATGTTGGTTGAAGTCTAAGAAAAAGTTTGAGGCTAGTTTAGGAAGATAATATCTGTAACTGGACTGGAAGATGATGTGTTTTACTGGCAAGTTCAGGATCTACTTCTAGGTTAAGGTCAATGTTCATGTTTCAGGATTAGATATTCTTACATTAGCAGCGTACTTTATTTGCCTGGTTATATTGATAACTCAACATTCATTTTTGAAGTTTCAATCTTCCTATTATCAAGCAATTAAATACGTACCTTCTGGAATTTGCCGTAGTATTTTAGCAACTTAATTTTAATTTATCTAAGGAGAAATTTCGTACTTGATGAGAAGGATATTTGAATGGCTTGGTTGTAAATGGTTGCAGCTATATGTGTAGAAATAAAAAAACCTGCTGTAATTATAATGTCAAAATGAAAGTTGTTTGTGAGTAGAATGCTTTTACATTATTTTTACGGTTTATAACAAATTTTCTGATCCATGTACTAATTGAAAAATTTTAATGAATTCTTATGATTTATGAGCCATTAGTTTGTTCCTATTGAATGATACAGATAATGGGGTGTAAATCCTATGCTGAATTTGTAATGAAACTAAACATGGCTTCATCACCAGAGGTGGTAATTTCTTTTTTGCTTGAGATGAGCAATATGGTCAAACCAAGTGCTGACAAGGTATGACAGGTTTCTTGTTAGTACTTGTGAGGTGTGAAGTTGTTGAACCCATAGGTGGCAGTAGATTCTATTGCTATTTCCTTACGTTACTGATTTGTCATTTTTCCTGCAGGAGTTTAAGACAATTAGAAATTTGAAGAGAGATGTATGTGGTCAAAGATGTGTAGATCTAGAACCTTGGGATGAGCCATACTATACGGCAATGATAAAGTCTTCTGCCTACAATTTGGACTCCTCTGTAGGTTATAAACTTCTATCTGTGTTGCTTACAATTTATAATAAGCAAAGTTCTATTTCACTTATGTTCATTGACTGGTGACTTCTTAAAGTTCCAGTTTTTTCTTTTTAATACTCTAGGTTCTCTAAGTCTTTTTGTTCCCAATATTGTGGCAGGTTGTGGCATCATATTTCTCTCTGCCACAGTGTATTGAGGGCTTGAAACTGCTGGTAAAGTCACTATTTGGTGCAAACTTTGATAGCATTCCCATGGCACCTGGTGAATCATGGCACCCTGATGTGCTTAAAATGTGCCTTCATCATCCTGAAGAGGTATGTACTTCGATGATTAAAAAGTGTAGACTAGTTTGAAAAGTATCTTCACATTGTGAAAGATACTACTGACACAACAGACTGCATATATTCTGAGTTCATACTTTTATCCTCCATGAGTAAAGGATCCTGTTAAAATGTTTAATTCTTTTTTTTTTCAAAGCTTTTCTTGCCTCAACTATTTAAAGTTCTTTAATTTTCCTGATACCTGTAAGTCCTAATTTTTGGTTTTCTATGGTGATATTTGCCTTGAATACATTCTTTCACTAGTTGCTTTCTACTTAACTTCTGATGCTGGAATAGACTTGCATTTGTTCTTTGGAGGGATCTGAAGTTTTTCTTTTTCATTTGTGATTCTGAATTCTTGCCATTCTGGAGACCATCTACTTTATTCATCTTTTTGTAACAAAAAGATGCTGAATAAAGAAAATGTAGATGCTTCCATTACAAGTTTATGCATGTTGGAATATGTTTCTGCAGATTTTTCTTTTCTTTTTTTTTTTTTCTTTTCATTTGTATTACAGCATTATAGTCAGGCATTATGCATTTGCTTCAGGGTGACCTAGGGTATCTGTACCTTGATCTGTACTCGAGGAAAGGCAAATATCCAGGCTGTGCCACTTTTGCAATTAAAGGGGGACGAGAAATTTCTGACACCGAATATCAACTCCCTGTATGTAAATAGAGTTATAAGCATTGGTCAACTTTGTTTGCATTCTTTTTTCTCTCTTTCTAGCACTTTGTTATATTTCCATTTAAACAAATCTTCTCAGTCGAGTTATCTTAAATAAAATTCTTTTGCTCTCCTTATTCACTTATCCTGAAAATTCTTTTTTGGTTTAAACATTAGTTTCTCTCAAAGTTTACTTTTATAATCGTATTTTTGCAGGTTATGGCCCTTGTTTTTAATTTTTCAAGGCCTCATGATTCATCAACTGTGCGGCTTAATCATGGTGAACTGGAAACTTTATTTCATGAGTTCGGACATGCTCTTCATGCATTGCTCTCAAGAACGGTAGTTTGTTGAGACTTTACCACTAAGAAAGCTCACTATCAGTCCTTATCGTTATTATTGTAATCTCTTTTGGTTATTCATGTAGGATTACCAACATTTTTCAGGCACTAGGGTGGCTCTTGACTTTGCTGAGACACCTTCGAACCTATTTGAGTGAGTGGAATGTTGTAGTTACTGCAGTAATATCGTTATGCTTTTTTTCATAGCCAGCAAAACTAAACTAGCTTTGAGAATGTATGAGTTGAAAGAAAGCAAATATGCATGATTATACTGTTAAAATGCATGTGTTCCTTTTCCCTCAGAGGGAGAGATGTATGTGTGGTCCATTTTGACATTGGTGCAATCTTATATGTGGCCCATTTTAAGTTTTGAGATGTCCCATTTTGTTGTTACCAACCTGATCTTTGGAGAGGGAGAGAGAGTGTGTGCATGTATATGGTGCATTTTAATATTTTTAACTTGTGTCCAGTACCTTATCATCACCTGATGCTGACAGTGATTTGATAATTCTTCTAGGTACTATGCTCGGGATTACCGAGTTCTGAGGAAATTTGCTAGACATTATTCAACTGGAGAAGTGATACCTGAGAAGTTGGTTAAGTCACTGAATGGTGCAAGAGACATGTTTGCAGCAACTGAATTGCAACGTCAGGTCTATCTAGTCCTCTGAATGAATCAGCATATATGTTTTAAAGTACATTTAATGTATGGATAAAGGAATTCACCAGGCTTTCTGTTTTTCATTTGGCATTCATTAGATATTTTATGCTTTGGTTGACCAAACACTTTTTGGGGATCGGTTACCTGAGCCAAGAGATACTTGTTCTATTGTTGCACATTTGAAAAGACAACACAGCAATGAGAAGCATGTGGAGGGTACACATATGCAGATACGATTTAGTCACTTTCTCACCTATGGTGCTGGTAATATTTATAATCATAAATTTGTTAATGCATACATATTTTAAGTATAATTTTTGTCTTCTTTCATACATAAAATCATAAATATGAGTTCAAATGCCATATTATATCACAAGCTCAAGGGGTTGAATGCAGCTACTTTTTATAAATCTCAAAATAAGGCACTGGGGCTCCTCAATTTGTGTGTTTGCATGGATGTTTAATGAAGTTGCATATTTTGCATATATGATCCTTTATGTTTAGAATTGTGCACCTAATGTGAAATTTGAGGTTAAAATATGTCTGCCATAATATAAACATTGCTATAATGCTGTAACCATCACTGTATAGTTCATCACAAATCAATGAAGAAAGAAATAACGAGTTTATGTATCATATCCTAGTTCTTATTTGAGCAACATAATACATCTGATCTGTTTGCTACTTCATTATTAGTCCTGTGCATGAAAATGTAATATTGCTTTTTAAAATTGACTTAGGTTTCCTAGCTGCTTTCTTTAAGCTCGGCATGATGAATTTTGAAGTGATAATTTCAGTGTGATTACTTTTTGTTTGATGATTTTTGGTTTTCAATTTGGTAGGTTATTACAGCTACTTGTATGCCAAGTGCTTTGCTGCAACTATATGGAAGAAGCTATGCCAAGAGGATCCTCTGTCACTTGCAACCGGAACTGCACTCAGAACAAAACTTTTGCAGCATGGAGGAGCCAAAGAACCGGCTGATTTGTTGACTGATCTAGTGGGGGATGGCATTATAAGGTATCATAATGGAGGGATAGTTCCTGATATCACAAGTTGTTTGGAAGAAATGAAGCTGTCGGGCGAAAGGAGTTTATATTATTGATTTTTTTTTTTTAGCAGCTGATTCTGCAGCTGTGCCTTGTACGTCGTCATTGCGATGGAACATGTTATTTGGGGTAAGATTTTATTTATTTAGGGCTCCTAGCAATTTCTGATGGAAATTATTTGTCGATAATAAATTATAATTGACTGCTGTTTAATTCATTCCAATCAAATGTAGTAGACATTGTCAAAGTCAGTCAATCAATTTTGGGTGAAAGCTATCAGGCATCGGGTAGTCACTGAAATGGCAGTGTAATGAACCGAAACTGCTATGAAACATCCCAAATTCCCAATTATATTCTACGATGATGAATCACCTTCGAAGATTATGTATTACTGTCAATTTGGAATTGACCATTGGCAATCGAGATATTCAATTTTAATATGGCATTTGTAAGATTTACATGAGGCCTGACATAAATCCAAGCAAGATTTAACAATCAAGGGCATTGGGGTTAGAAATGACGACAGCTTCGGAAGTAATGTGGGTCGCTACTTATAAGTCTCTGCAGGCCGTTTTCTTTCAACAGCTACTACCCATTCCCAGATGATGGAATTCACTTTTTCTGGCTGCTCATCATGGGGGCAATGGCCTGAAACGTTTAAAATGGGAAGCAATAAAATTTTGCCAGAACGAGGGAGGGGCAAGATAATTGAGATAGAAAAGCTTATTACCGGCATCCAATTCCCTTATTACAAGCCCCGCACAATGCTCTTTGAGCATGGCTAGTTTGGCCTTGGAGTCTGACAGTGGGTCTTTCATTCCCTAACAAGATATACCGATTGAAATGCTCATATGAGTAACCAAATCAACCAAACCACAAGCCATAGAGAGAGATTAATAACTTCTTTTCCATATAGAGGGAATTTACCTGCACAATTAGAGTCTTTTCCTCGTATCCTTCCAAGAGATAGTTCAAAGGGATTGAGAGGTCAAAACTGAAAATACTTTCCAGGACCGCTACCACACCAGGATCATAGGACTCGAGTATGTCAAGATCACTTTTTAGGGGGCACATAATTAGTTCCTACTTCCACTAAACAACATTTTGTGGTTTTGTGTATAGTGTGTGTGTGTGTGGGCATGCTCATGCAGTTCAAACAACAGAGAGGATACTGCTCTCAGCATTTCGTTAATAAGCCAATCATCAGCTCGCTTGGTTTTCTGCAAAAGTGAAAGGCCGCTGAACTAAGTCAGGCTAAATGCAAAATGAAAAGAAAAATAAGAACGCAGGAAGCATCAATAAAATCCTTACAGTTGGGTACAAATTTTTAACTATGTTCCTGATATTCAACCTCAAATAGAATAAAAGGAGTTGAGCACCCAGTCCTGCAGCACCTGAGGTTCGCCTCTCCTGAAAAATTTATATATTGAATATCAAATGCTGGGGATGATAGTTAAGACAGTTATTTGATACTAGGCTATTTCTCAAAACCGCAAGAGTAAATCAAAACTTGTCTTTTAATACCCTTATTTAGTTTCCACTCAACATAATAAGAGTAAAAATAAACATGGGCGACAAACATAAATTGCCAAATAATAACCAAGTTGATGGTAGACAGGTACAATTTCTCAGCAATAGCTGACAAAATAGATAGCTTCAAGAGACAAACTAGTAAGCACATACGTCATAATTCATAAAAAAGGTTAGATACAAATTGACATCAGAAAACTTGTCAATTATTTTGCCGGACTTACATTAGAAAATCGCTGAGAAGAAAATCCAGGAATAACGTTGCCAGCACTGTTGATAAGGATGACAGACTTGACCAAAGTAGGCCAGAGACTAGCAACAATAGCGACAAAATAACCTGGAGATATAAATAAATAAGTATAAGACCAACAAAAAGAAATAGTAACAAATTGTTTAGTCAAACAGATAAGTTACTTTCAGACAGAGAGGAACAGATTGTATGGGCACTTTAGGAAAGGTACGATGTAGCTTAGAGTTGATAACATACCACCTATTGAGTTCCCTACTAGATGCATTGGCTCACCCACAACTTCAATGATAAAATCTCTCAGCAGTTCAGCCCACAGGAGTTCAGTATACACAACATTGGGCTTTTCTGATTTGCCAAATCCTAACATTGTAACGGCCCAGACACGGTTTCCACCTTCAGCTATGCCATTTATATTTTCACGGTAGTGCTCAAGAAAGGCACCAAAACCATGCACAAGAAGAATAGCAGGACCTTCATGGCCAACTACTGTATACTGGAAAAAAAAATGTTGGTTATAATGATAAGTTACAGAATTTATAACCCAGCCAAAGTAAAGTACTTAAAGTATATCAAGAATGAATAAGATTTCTCATCCTATCAGAAGTAATTAATCACAAAATAAACTACACTGCAGATTTAAATTCCAAAGGTATGAATTAGATGTCAACAGCAAACCTGAATTAGATGTCCACGCCATCTCCAAATCCGTACAGAGTACAGTCCTTCATTAGTTAGTTGATCTTTTAGAGCCAAAAGCCAAAACCACTGCCACCAAAATCAACTGTAATGCTTTAGAAGGCCTTGCACTTAAAATTGTCTATCAAAACCTAAGAAGAGAAAAAAGCTTTCAATGAAAATCATACAAAGAATAAAGCTGTTCAGAAGAATCGTCAATTAAGCATTTCTATTTGTACAAATATCAATGTAAAGTAGCAATTACCTCCATGGAGCATACAGCATCAGCTGCTGCAGCAACAGTGGCTGCAGAATATCCAAATGGAGATAGAAATCCAGCATTTCGTTCTTTCTCATACATGACAGCTTCATAATGCACTCTCCTTCTAGATATGATGCCAAGACAAAGAGCAGGGCCAAAAAGTGAAGTAAAAGAAGCACCATCACGAGTTTCAGCATTTCGTAGCCTTTTGTGTACCCTACAACGAAATCAATGCAAAGGACATTTAGATAATTTAAACATGATGACCACATGAACTTGTCCATATCATCCTTCAAATTACATTCTTCCCATTTCACACAAATAAAATACAAACTGACAACATATACTAGGAAACCACAGGTTAAGACAAATTCATTTTGCATAATCAAAATCCTCTAAACAGGTCAAGCACAAAAAAAACCTAAACATCCTCACAAATATCTTAAGGCCCAACTAAATTGAATTAGGTGGTGTAAATTCATCACATACTCTTGCCAGTCATCTCGAGCTGTTCCCTCCAAATATCTCAAGTATGCAGCCAATGCATTCAACACAGAGTTTGTTCCACCTCCAACAACATCACCTTTTTGTGTAACAAAAACGGATTTATCTAGTCTCCTTCGCATGCTTTTGGCAATCAAACTGTTTCCGTTGGTTCTTGATGGTTTTGACAAATTCTCCTTCAATATGACTTCAGCTGGCATCTCATTCATCAAATTCCAACTCTGTTTTGATTTGCCTGATTTATCTTTGATAAATTCCTTAAGATCACTAAAAGTAGGTAGATGACCTGATTCATATTTCAGCTATTAGGTTCCATAGCCATAATCACAATCGCATTAAAAACCTTTGCAAAATATCACTACTGCATGAAAACATTTAAAATAGGCCAATTGTGGACAAATATAAGCATTAATAGCTTTTAATATTACCACCAGAACTTACCCCAGTCCAACTCTGTTTCTACAGCAGATAATGTTGCCAGAGGAAGAGGCGAGGTTGGTAGCAACTTAAGTTTTTTAAAGTCATTATATGATGTAGGCAGGTCCTTCAGATTCTACATAACACATTGTAAGTATACAATGAAAACGTTGGAAACAGAAAAATATAAAAAATCTATCCTTACATACAATGCAAGAGTTTCACCTAGCTATGTAAAAAAATTCAAATAACAGAATTCGAAAACATGACCACCTTAACATGATAGAATGGAGTCCTCCACATGACAATATCGGGATTCCCATCTGAAGACGAAGACGTTTCCAATGTATCCTTGACAACTCCAATCATCTTACGCATTTCATACTCTACCTCCTCTTCAATAAACACATCCGTAGCTTGCAGCTGTTCATATACTCGGCGATACGTTTAACAAGAATAAGTCAAAGAAGGCTTGAAATTTCTTTTTTTTTTTTTTTTTGGTTACATAAGAAAAATTGTTCTATGAAAATAACCTCTTTTACAAGCTCTGCAATGACATTTTCAGCACTCCCGAATCGGATCATCAAGTTGGAGCCTTTTCCCTTCAAAGAGTTTCTCAAATCTTCCAAAGCGAAGAGAACTAGTTCCAGCAGTTCATCAGAATAACCTGAATACAGTAAAATAATTTCGAATTTAAAAAAATTTCGGAAAATTGATATTCACTAGGCGAATCTTAATTCATAATCTTATAAAGAAAAGTAGAAAAAAAAAAAGTAAAGTTGGGCAATAAATGAAGGAGAAAGACTTACGAGAAAGAATGCGGTGATCGAAGACATAGAGGGGGAGAATAGAACGGTGCATTTGAACGGCCGCGGAAAGCGCGGGGTGATCGTCGAGGCGGAGATCGTGTTTGAACCAGAGAATGGCAGAGTCGGAATGGGTGTCGGTTCTTCGTGTTCGAGCAGAGAGCGAGCAAATGCAGGAGGGGCGTGGGGTTGAGCGAGGAGAGAAGAATGGAAATGGCGGGAAAGGGAGAGGGAGAGGGAGAGAGCGGGGAAAAGTGAGGAGAGGCATGGGTATAATGAGGGCAAGTGATAAGAGACACAGAGAGAGCGATGCCGTCCATTAAAATTAGCAGGGAGATATTGGAAGGAAAAAGGGGAGAGAGAGTTAGGTTAGGACGAAGAAGAGGGACTGCTGGGGCTTGGCATGGTTTGGATTTAACTGGAAAAATAAAATCTGGAATTGTTGTGGCGGAGAATTAAGTTTGGAAGTTTTTTTTTTTTTTTTTTTTTGGGGGGGGGGGGGTGAGAAACAGAAAGAAACCAAATCAGCCAAAACAGGTTAATCAGGTGGTCACTGCTCGACAGCCTCCATTTTCCAAAACGGCGCGTGATCATTATTCACTGCCTTTGGTGCGTAGGCGGGAATTCGAATGTTTAGTATTTTTACTCTTAAAAAAGGGGAAATGCTAGGTCAGTCCACACCCTCTTTCCATGCATAAAAAACCACGTTTCCTCTTCTATTAAATTTCAAGTAGGTCTAAACATAAATCTTTACCTTTTCGGATCAAAAATAAAATCTTAACCTTTTGGATTATATTAGTAGGTTATTCCTTGATCATATTGTACTCCTCTCTCATCATTTTAATAACACTTACTTAATGATGAACTTTCTCTCAATTTAGCATTTCTCCTCAATTTTTATGTTCCTTAGCTACTATCATTGTTCTCCCTTTATCCTTTTAATATTCTTAAAAAATAGATTACATTTTATAGAAGAAGACGAAAGAAATTATTGTGATGAAAGTAACAAGAAATAGGTAGGCAATCTTTTTACAGTTCCACTTGACCCTTTCTGGCTTTCAAAGTGAAGTTCCTTCTTACAAAAGTGCTTACCTCAATTAAAAATATAATCAATTGAGTTTAAGTTAATATAATATTATATTTAAAATTTAGTTCGATTTAAAATATAAGATTTAAAATTTGATTCGAATTTAATTAAGTTTTATTTTTTTAACTTAAATTTGATTTGATATAAAAATCAAGTTACTTAAATTTATTTGATTAAACTCGATAATATGTAAAAAAAGTTTAATTATTATATTTAATAAAAATTTAATTATTTGTACTCAAACTCGAGTTCGAGTTCGAGATATTTTATTAATTAAAATAATAAAAATACATTTAAATATAAAAATTCGATTAAACTCGTAAACTATTTCAACCGGATATAAAAATAGTCGATTTCAACTTTATCGATGAGTCAAACTACTTAAGCTTAAGCTTGACTCGATAATAATCGAACTGAATTCGAATGTTATTTTAATCGAATCTAAATAACTTACTAATACTAATGTATCATTTACACATCTAACCTTAACTAAACACTTTCAGAAAAGAATAAAAAATAAAGGGGGCGCAAGCATAAATACTAGAATTTGGGGGGAGAGACAAGATATATAACCAAAAATCCAGAAACACAAAAAATGAAGCGCACGCTGCACGACATCAGTGTAACCAACTAAAACTGAAAATGGCACTACGAATCCACACTCAATCTTCTTTTACTAACCGACTCTATCAGTGCTACTCCGTCTTTCCAAAACCCGATTTTTTAATCAAATCGCAGAAGCCAACAGTCGACGCCGAGCCCACTCCTGAGCCCACCTCCTCGCCCAAGAAGCCCGCCGCATTGGGCCAAAGGTTTGGCTCCTCCGTTTCTTCACCCTCGCCCTCCGGCAAGTCAAGCGTAAGTGTCACGGGTCGAGACTCAAGCTCTGAACCCTCGCGGCTCCGGGACCTGGGCATTCACCCTTTCGGCGTCCCGAATCAGTCTGACCGCCACGGTTCACACCCTTGTGAGGTATTGTCCGCTTTGGCCCCCCTGACCTCACGGTTTTGTCCTTCAAAAGGTACCTCACAAGGCGGAGATGGTGTGAACCCTTTTATACCCCAGTAACCCTCCTATTATGTTCGATGTGGGATTCAAGACTCTTCCTTATGTCTGTGACATTCTCCCTCACCCAACCTCGTGACGCCCTCGTCACAGAGGCTGGCCACCCTGCCTACCTCCCTCGAGGTACTTGGCGTGGATCGAATGGTTTAGGGCTGGCTCTGATACCACTTGTCACGGGTTGAGACTCAAGCTTCGAACCCGCGCGACTCCGGGACCCGGGCATTCACCCGACCTTAGACTCAGAATTCGTGCGGCCTTAGGCTTGGAATCTCCTCCTTTATGCCTAAGTCAGCCTAAAACACAAGCGTGTGGGTACTAGAACAATGGGAAGGGCTGATTACGCAAGTTAAAGAGAAACAGGACAAGAAGACAGAATTCTGGAAATGCTCTTGTATTCACTGAAACAGAAGTGTTTGATGGTGTACAAATAAGGGTGGAACAGCCCTCTATTTATAGTTGAGGCTCCAGCTACAATTTAATGGCAAATCCCTAGAATAAAGGCTAAAATCATGAGATTACAATCAATCAGGATGCTGGCTCCTGATTTTCAGGGTCAACCAAATCTGCCAGGATGCTGCTGCTGATCCTGCCTGCTTCCAGAAGCTTCCCTTGCGTGTCCAGCACCTTGGGCCCTTCTGGATGTGGTGCGGGCAGCTTGTATGCCAGGCCTTGGTCTCATGGGCTAGCCTGCAAGTCGGGCGGACGTTCTGAGCTCGTCTGCTAGGCTTTGCACACAAATACCCGCCAGCACGCCTGGTCTACGGGCCTCAACCTCTGGCTCGCCTGCTGGTCTGCCTGATGTGCCTGGCGCGCCCGTCCAGGGCATGACATTCTCCCCCACCTGATTGTGTAACGCCCTCGTTGCGTCTTCTGCATGGTACTGCCTGATCTGGTCTCCGAACTGCCATAAGTCCTCTGCTGGTTCCCAACTCACCTCACTATCTGGAAGTCCCTTCCAGCGCACCAAGTACTCATGTCTTGGCTGATAGTTCTTCCGTCTCACCTCTCGATCAGTTATGATGCTGTGGACCTCCTTCTCATATGAGGCCCTTGCTCCCAATGGCGCACGCTTCGACTCTGCCCGTCCTGGATCTCCCTCATCCTTATGGAACGGCTTGAGCATGCTCACATGGAACACTAGGTGTACCCTCGACTTGGGTGGCATATCCAGCTTGTAGGCAACCTTGCCTACCCTCTTGACTACTCGGAAAGGTCCCTCATACCTCCGGACTAGGCCTTTATGCAGCCCCCTGTGGCACACAATGGGATGCAGCTTCATCAACACCAAGTCTCCAACCTAGAACTGCACATCCCATTTATGCTGGTCTGCCCACTTCTTCGACCTCTTGGCCGTCTTATGTAAACAAACTCTGGCCAAGTCAGTTTGCTCTTGCCATGCCTTGGCAAACTTGTATGCTGCTGGATTCGACCCTGTATAACTTGCAGCAATCGAACCGAGTGTTAGTGGTTATTGCCCTGTCACAACCTCAAATGGGCTCTGGTTCGTTGCTTCGCTCCTTTGCAAGTTGTAGGAAAACTGCCCAATATCTAGCAGCTTTGGCCAGTCCCTTTGTGTGGCACTCACATAGTGCCTGAGGTAGACCTCCAATAGTCCATTCACTCGTTCTGTCTGCCCATCGGTCTGTGGATGCATGCTGGTGAAAAAGTTCAAGTCTGACCCCAACAGCTTGAACAACTCAGTCCAGAACCTGCCCGTGAACTGTCCGTCTCAATCACTAACAATGGTCTTCAGCACTCCCCAGTACTTAACAATGTTCTTCAGGAACAATCGAGCTGCCTCCTCGGCTGGGCACTCCTTGGTTGCTGGAATGAAGATTTCATACTTGGAAAACCTGTCCACCACTACCATGATGCTTCCAAACCTTTCTGCTTTGGGTAGACCGACTATAAAGTCCAGAGAAACACTCTCCCACGGTCGTTCTGGCACTGGCAATGGCTCCAAGAGACCCCCTAGTTTCTTGAGCTCCACCTTGTCCTGTTGGCACACAAGACAAGTCTTCACATAGGCCTCCACATCGTCCCTCATGTGCGGCCAATAGTACCGGTCCTCGATCAGCGCCAAGGTGTGACTCACTCCTGGGTGTCTAGCCCACATTGAATCATGACACTCTTGCAAAACTTCTTTGCAGAGCTTCCCGTGCTGCGGCACAAATAGTCTATTGCCCCTGGTGTACAGCAAACCATCATGCAACCAAAACCGCCTAGTCTTACCTTACTGGACGTACTCCATCAAAGCCTTGGCTGTAGGATCATGCGTAAGTCCCTTATTGATGTGCGGCACCAATGACCCCTCTGGTTGGCTAATGGCAGCAAGGTTAGCCTTCCTGCTCAGGGCGTTTGCCACTAGGTTCACCGGTCCTGGCTTGCACTCCATCTGGAAATCAAATTCTGCAAGAAAATCTTGCCATATCGCCTGCTTGGGGGACAGCTTCTTCTGCATCTGGAAGTAGCTGGTCGCCACATTGTTCGTCCTCACCACAAACCTCGACCCCAATAGGTAATAGCGCCAAATGCGCAAGCAGTGCACCACTGTAGTCATCTCCTTCTCTTGGATCGTGTACTTACGTTCAGTCTCGTTCAGCTTCCTGCTCTTGAACACGACTGGACGTCCCTCCTGCATCAACACGCCCCCTATGGCAAAGTCTGATGCATCCGTATGCACCTCATACGGCTTAGCATGGTCTGGCAAGGCCAAGACTGGCTCCTCGATCACAGCTCGCTTCAACCTATCAAAGGCTTCTTGGCACCCTGCGCTCCACTCCCATGCTCTCTATTTCTTGAGCAAGTCAGTCAATGGCGTGGCTATTGCTGAGTGACCTTTGATGAAGCGCATGTAGTAGTTAACCAGCCCAAGGAACGATCTCAACTTAGTGACCTTGGCTGGCGGTTGCCACTCCAGGATGGCATCTATCTTGCCTTCGTCCATGCGCATCCTGCCACCTCCCACTATGTGGCCAAAGAACGGGATCTCCTGCTGGGCGAATGAGCACTTCTTCCTCTTGACAAACAGTTTGTGCGCCCGTAACACCTCGAACACCTGTCTCAAGTGGTCTACATGCTTTCCCAAAGTCTAGCTATAGATCACAATGTCATCCAAATAAACCACAACAAACCGATCAAGGAATGACTAAAGTACCTTGTTCATAAGGGTGCAGAATGTTGCTGGGGCGTTTGTGAGTCCGAAAGGCATCACTAAGAACTCATACGAACCATACCGAGTGACACATGCTGTCTTTGGCTTATCTCCCTCCGCGATCCTGACTTGATAGTAGACCGACCTCAAATCCAACTTGATGAACCACCTTACGCTTCCAAGTTTATCGAACAAGTTCGCAATGAGTGGGATGGGGTACTTGTTCTTAATGGTCAGCTTGTTCAAAGCCCAGTAGTCTATGCACAGCCGCAACGACCCATCATGCTTGCGTTGGAATAGAATCGATGCACCATAGGGTGCTTTCGATGGCCTGATAAAGCCAGCATCAACTAACTCTTTGAGCTGCTTCCTCAACTCCTCCAACTCTGGTGGAGACATTCGGTAAGGGGCTCTGGCTGGTGGCTTGGCCTCAAACACCAGCTCGATCTTGTGATCCACCTCCCTCTTAGGTGGCAGCTTGCTAGGCGGCTTTGCGGGCATCACATCACTAAAGGTCTTCAGCACCTTTAGCACCCCTAAGGGTGACTCGGTCTCCTTCTCTTTTGGCTCATCGTATTTTATGGCTGCCAAGAAGGTGTTTTCTTGTCTGCTTACCGCCTTGGTAAATTGGATGGCTGACACCACCCGCGACCCAACTCCAGACCCTCTCCTCAATGGTACTAGGCATTGGCACCGTGCATCCAAGATGCAAACACAATCAGTAAAAGGCACAAGGAGGGCGTTAATTCGAACAAGAAAATCCAACCCAATCACAAACTCATAGTCATCAAGGGGTATTACCTCAATGGTCTCCTTGCCTTTTCAGTCTCCAAGCTGTAACTTCACACCCCGTGCTACTCCAATGGCTGAAACTTTCTTGGAGTTCACCGTCTTAATGGTACCAGTCCCTTTCTGCACCTTTAGTCCAAGCTTTCGGGCTCCATCACCTGAAATAAAAAGATGTGAGATACCTGTGTCCACCAGTGCTCTCACCTTCTGACCCGCAACCATCAGATCCGCAAACATCAAGCCCTTTGGCTTGCGGCTCCCCTTACTTTGGACAGCATTCAGCACCAACGACCCAAGCTTTGCTACCCCTGACTCTGGCTCATCGTCAGACTCCTTGTCTACAGCAGCCAGCTTGCCCTTCTGTGGGTAATTACGCGCTATATGGCTCCCTCCACATAGGTAGCATGCTAGTGGCTCTCGGTCCCCTTTTGCTTTCCACTTGCCTGCTGGTGGCTTCCTCTCACCATCTTTGGTTGAACAGTCTCGGTCTCCATCCTTGGACTCTCGATCACGGTCCTTCCCCTTGGACTGCTTCTTCCGGTCCCTATCGTCCCTGCCCTTACCCTTGGGCTTGGAAGACTCGAACTTGTTCAGAGGCTTGAACTCTATCAAGGCCTCAGCAGTAGTCATAGCTTTAGCCAAGTCATGAACTCCTCTCTTTTGTAGCTCATGCTTCACCCACGGCTTCAGCCCATTCATGAAAGCAAAGAAGGCGTCTTTCTCGCCTAGATCCGAGATCTGTAGCATCAGTTCAAAAAATTTCTGGACATACTCCCTTATGTCCCCTTGCTGGCTCAGCTTGCGTAACTTTGCCCGCGCCTCATCATCGGCATACTCCGGGTAAAATTGTTCTTTGAACTCCTTTTGGAACTCTGTCCAGGTTCCAATCTTGACGCTCCCACACCTGACATCATCACACCTGCCCCTTCACTACAATAACGCTACATCAGTGAGATACATAGCAGCGGTGCTTACCTTTATCGCCTCGTCTTGCATGCCCATGGCCTGTAAGTACTGCTCCATACCCCAAAGGTAGTTGTCTACTTCCTTGGCCGCCCTAGTCCCCTTGAACTCCTTAAGCTTGGGGACATCCAATCTGGATCTGGACACTCCAGCAAACATGCCATTCCCAATGGCAGTCTTGCAAGTAATGAGCTCACTGGTAAGCTCCTCCATCCGCTGGCGCATGGCCTCCATGCCATCGCGCAAGGTCCGCACTTCAGCCTCCAAAGTCTGGTTTCTTCGGGTGACATCCAGGCCATTGTTGAGAGCAGCTGCTAGCTCACTTTGGATCTCCTCCCCCATGGAGTCTAGCGATGCAATGTGAGTTTCTACTTCCTCCAGCTTCTCCCCCATGTCGCCTATGGTCACCTCCACCTTGGCCAGCCTACCGTCCATGGTAGACCAGATATCTCTAGAACAGCTTTCTTGCCTCTTCCTCGCCCATGCTCCTGGGCCTCTGGTTGTTGGCTAGCAACGTCGCTTTGGGATGCCATCTCCTCAATCACGATCTAACCTGCACAACACAAACACGCAGAATCGAACTTGCTCTGATACCAACTGTCACGGGCTCCGACCTTAGACTCAGAATCCGTGCGGCCTTAGGCTTGGAATCTCGTCCTTGATGCCTAAGTCAGCCTAAAACACAAGCGTGCGGGCACTAGAACAAAGGGAAGGGCTGATTACGCAAGTTAAAGAGAAACAGGACAGAAAACAGAATTCTGGAAATGCTCTTGTATTCACTGAAACAGAAGTGTTTGATGGTGTACAAATGAGGGTGGAGCAGCCCTCTATTTATAGTTGAGGCTCCAGCTACAACTTAATGGCAAATCCCTAAAATAAAGGCTACAATCATGGGATTACATTTAATCAAGATGCTGGTTCCTGATTTTCAGGGTCAACCAAATCTGTCAGGATGCTGCTGCTGATCCTGCCTGCTTCCAGAAGCGTGTCCAGCACCTTGAGCCCTTCTGGATGTGGTGCGGGCAGCTTGTATGCCAGGCCTTGGTCTCATGGGCTGACCTGCAAGTCGGGCGGGTGTTATGAGCTCGTCTGCTAGGCTTTGCGCACAGATACCCGCCAGCACGCCTGGTCTGCGGGCCTCAACCTCTGGCTCGCCTGCTGGTCTACCTGATGTGCCTGGCGCGCCCGCCCAGGGCGTGACATAAGCAGCAGCAAGAAAAAGCAGAAAGGAAAAAGAGAGATGGCGTGGATAATAAGGCGGTCGCCGATCGAGAAACCTGCCATTGTGAGCAAAGAGGAAGAGGCTAAAGCCGAGGAACAGAGAAAAAATGAGAGTGCTTTTCTACTGGCGTGGTTGGGGCTTGGTGGACTCATTCTTGTGGAAGGCATTGTTCTTGCTGCTTCAGGTTTGTCTCCAAATTAACACTACATATTGTTCTTTTTGCTGTTTATATAAAGTTATGTTGTGCAGAGTGATTTCATTTTTGTACACATTTGGATTAGACATTTGAACCTGATTTTAAAATGAAATTGAAGTTCAATATTTATAGGAGAAACAATTCTTTATGTTTAAGAAATTTTTTGGACATCAAGTAAGTTAAGTAATCTTGTTGGATCATCACGCCAATGTAAAGATTATTGTGGTCAAATTAGTAAATTGGAGACTGGATTAAACCTTTGAAAATTGAAATCGCTGTATATCATGTTTCTTTAGACCAAGAGTCGACTTTAGTGTCGTCCAGCAAAGGGCAAGGAAGCTTAGTATTCCATAACAGGCTCACCATTTGATAAACCTTTGGTCGTATCTGATTAAAAAAAGCACATCAATGTCATCCTCCAATAGATGATGGACCGGGAACAATAATGTGATATAAATTTTTTTTTGCTGACTTGCTTCTTTTCCAATTGGGTTACCGGTTCTTAATAATTCGACATCATACAAAGATGTTTAGGTTCTTCATTCTTCAGAAGGATGTATGTAAAGATTCATCGCTTTTTGTTTTTGGTCCTGTACTAGGGTTATTATTTGCAACCTGCTTCATTAGAAAATTAGGGTCTGCTGAACTGCTTTGCTAGGCTTTTTAACCTCTAATAAATGTACAGTGATTACGATTGTTACAAAATGACAAAAAATAAGTCTACATTTCCATGAAGTTGGACATGTCAAACTATGAAAATGATTTCTGTTGGCATTTTGAAGCTATGAGTTGTGATCCCTGATAACTTATTAGCTGTTTTATGTTTACAGGCTTCTTACCAGAAGGGTGGGATAAGTTCCTTGTGAAGTACTTGTACCCATCTTTCACCCCAACTGTTGTCTTGTTTCTTGCTGGAACTGTAGCATACGGAGTGTTGAAGTACCTGCAAAATGAGAAACTTAAAGACCAAAAATAAATTGTTTATTGAATATTCTGATATTTCCATATTGTAAGAGTAAACACTGTCGTTAAAAGCAAGTGAGTATTTGTACATTTATGCAGGCTGTTCTTTTCAGTTTTACTGCTTCCTCGTGAAGAGAATTGTATTAACTGAGAACACAACAACGGAATTTTCCTGCAAGGAATGTTAACCATCCTTATTTGTGATCTGCTGAGGCAGCGTTATGTGTCTTAATTGGCAATTGAAGCAGCAGCAGCACAAAATTGTGTATCTCAATATATGCGACAGTTTTAATTAGTTTTAATTCTGTTATATGTCTGAATTCTTTGAAAGCATGTCTTAGTTCTTTGTTACATTTTTTTACCTGAAAAATAATCACACAATTTACAAGGAATATCCATATTTTGACAAATAGGATTAATAAATGCTTACTCTTTTATGGACAAGTGATACTCAATTTAACTCTTCAAATCCTGAAGACCATTTGTTTTTTTTTTTTGGGTTTCACTGGATGGATTTAGTGGAATTGTGGTTTTTATACATGTACTTGCTGCCAATGATGCATGGAAGCTAGATGCTATCTTCCGCTTGTTAGACTTAACAATCATAATTTTTGTAGATTCCATTATTTTTTTTTCTTCCTTTTTGTTGAAAGAGCAATCATCTTCGGGTGTATACACAAGTGCCCATGCAGTTGATGAATGTTAGATTTCTGGCCTGGAAAAACAAAAGGTGGAAGAAGTGTTCTCCAAATATAGATAATAAAGCTACTGTGTTCTTGGCATAGGCATATCTGAGATATTATGGTACATGGAAAGTTAAGGCTTTCGTTTTTTTTTTTTCTTCAAGGTAACCCATGAGTTTTGTTTTCTTGTTGTTATGCTGCATCCACGGTGTCATAGAAGAAAGAGTATTGAATCCACAGAGAGATTGGATAAACAACTTGGTGTGCATTAATATCTTCGAAAGCAAGTAGCTTAGTTGTCCATCATCCAGAACCATGCACACTTTTTTTTATGTTTGGAACAGTCTGATTATTCACCTGAGGCAAAGCACTAAATTTCACGGTGCTTGATATGATATTTCTCTCATGCTTTATGGAATTTATGTAACGTTATTGGTATTAACATCAATAAGGAACTATAACATCAGCTGTTTATATCGTTGTGTAATCTATTTCAAGCAGTCTTTTTTGGTTGATAAAGTTGTGCTGCTCCAATTATGTTGCATGAGGCAGGTATTTCCCCTGATTGGTTAATTCTTATCTTTTATTGTTTTACATATAGTTTGTACATTGTTTAGCTTTGCATAATTTACTTTGCAACGAGAAATGGTCCCTGCTTCTTTCCCATTGTAGGACATTAGGCAGTCAATGAAAACTTTGACTAGGTGGTTCCTCTTGTAACCACTTTCGTTTTCTTCTTTGATGGAGTATTTGGAATCATTATATTTTATTATTTCTGTTATTCATTTAACTATGGCTTTAGTCAATAGTTGCTGTCTGTTGGGTAATTGTAAATGCTGATAATGTATGACTGATAAGTTTTAATTTGTTTCCAATTACAGCATTGTCTAGCAGCATGCAGATCACCTTGGATTGATCACATAAGAGCTTATGCCTTGATGGCAATGGCCTCAATCTCCTGACGTATCCTGGTACGTAACATCAAGCGCTATACATTAAGAAATGAATGATAGACTTCAATTCAGAAATGAGCTAATAAGTAGTTTTATTATTTTTTTTTTTTTACCAAAAATTTTGGAGGTACAAACAGAGGGATGACTACTTAATAGAAACTTATAACATTAAAATATATAAATGGATTGCGGGTTTTTTGTTCGGATACTAGATTCTTATGAGAAATATAAAGATACGATTGTAATAGATTGCATAAAGGGAGTTCGTAACTTATTCCCATTGAACCAAAAAGGTAAATCCCCAGGGTGGAGGAGTGTATATCAGCCTTTCTGACGGACATCCATTCTTTAATATGCAAATGCCTCTTTTCTTCTAGTGTGCCGATTAAAAGCCTGGAATCACTATAATTTCTCATTGTTCTGGATGAGTTAGTTTATGGACTACCTACCAGTTGTTTTATTAGGTCTCATCATGATTTAACTCCACAAGGTGGTGCAAGATTCGAATTTAGTCGGCATATTTTAAGTCCCATTTTGTCCTGGCTGCGTAAGAAGGATCTCTGTTTTCTCTGTTGCTTATGTTTACTTTCACTTGTCTATCTTAATTCCTTGATCTGTTGGAGCATTAGTTTCCCCACTCTTTTTACAATTTCTCCTCTTTCCCCTTCTTTCATATTGACTTCTACGTTTTTTTTTTTTCTCTTCTCCTGTTTCTTGATCCTAGCACAGAGCTTCAGCTTAATAATGTGGAATAATTGCTTTTTTATTCTATTACAATATGTAAATAGCACATAAAAACTGAAAAAAAGGGATAAATTAGTAAACAGGCAATGCTCTACGTCCTTTGTCCTGCAGCTATGAAGATGCTTATCAACCTCCTAAATCTACGGAGTTTTAAAGCTCTAGGAAATTTATACTGATGCATAATGCATTTAATTGCTTGAGCCTACCTTTTATTTTGGTGGACTTTGTTCATTGATAGTCATCAGCTTTCACACATAATTGTCCAGTTGTATATTAGAAGCAAAATTTATTATCATTTTCTTTTTTCTGGTAAGATATTAATGTCAGTAAATGGGCAGCCAATGTTCTTGTATTGATGCCTTTTCTCTTTCAGCTGTCTCTCACAGTTTATCTATTTATGCTCTTTTTGACTAGAATTGCTCTCAGAAATATTTTCTTTGGTTCTTGGTAATGGTGACCTAGCTGAAAACTAGAGAAGGAAAATTTTCTCCAGCGTATAATGAAAAATATTATGCAACGGCCTCACTTTACTATTGTAGGCACAGAATTGAGTAAATAACTTTGACCATTGATTTCTTCACACACAGAAAAAAAGCTCTCGTCATTGATTTATGCTTTCTAAAGGACGGTTTCAAAATTAGGAAGTTCCCAAAAAAAATGTTGCATTGGGGCTTTATCTAAAGCCCCAATGCAATCACGACAAAATATTGAGTTAGCAATACAATCAGATGCTATCCTATATATTCTCTACTAGGAAAAGATGCAATGGCAAGAGTTGCAGGCATAATCTTGAGGGGACAAGATTGAAGGCCAATGGCTATTCTATAATCAACTAGTTATCTTATGTGGATGTATTTTATGTCAGTATCTGGTCTTCATCGATGTATTTAGCTTTCACAATTTGCAATTGTCCTTTACACTGTTAAACAATTGTGCAGAGACGATGTGGGCTCAGCTCTACCTGATGACTTTGTATTGCACAGGTTTAATCAGGAGTCAGAAAATGCATCAATCAAAACTGAAGCCAGAAAGTTTGGTCAGATGGTTTGCAGATGGGCATTAAAGGATGGATGAATCCACAACAAGCAACAGAGATGCACAATAAAAGATCCACGTCTCCACCCTCCCAACAAGTCTGGTAAACTGGTTTGGAGATCGGCAATTAAGCTCTTAATTGGATAGTTGAGGCTTTAAAGTATTGCTTATCAGATTGAGAATGCAATGCATATTGATTACTTATGATTTAGGATCATTATGCACCCTACTAAATAAAGCAACATAGTGTTAGTTAACATATGACAGCACACTAGTATTCGTCTTGTCAAGATGAAATTGAATTGTGTTGCAGAAAATTGTAAGCAATGTTGTTGTTTTACCCTAGAAACTACCCGGAGATCATTAAATCCATGAAATTGTTACTTGAAGATTTACTTGTTTCTTTTGATATGGTAATTTGTACTCAATTAACTAAAGATGTGAATCAAAGCTATCTGAATTGTCAAAGATGATGCTTTTTTGTTGTCCCTACCAGTGCATCCCAAGATCATGCTTTTTTGGACCACCAAATCATTAGTTAACCACGTACCACTTGGTTTCAGTTGCTCCAATCCGATTGAGTGTTAGGCTAACTGTGTCACTTCACCAAAGTTGGGAGAAAATTGCATGACAAGAGCCTTGGAGGTCCCCCTCTTCTAATTATTGCTCCTCTTCCTCTTTCAATGCTAAATGCTAATCAATTTGCGCCAATTCTTTTTTGGTTTTTAGATTTTGATTCTTTAAAAGGGTAAATCAAACATATTATTGACCATAAAGTAAAACGAAAAAAAAAATGCAAGAAACAATTGAATAGGTGATTTTTTTTTTTTTTTGCCTCCATCTTTTTTAACTTGTCTTTGCTTTTCAAACGGGTAAACTCACAAAACTTGTTTAAACCAGTTTCAACCACTCGCCCAAAATGATTTAAAAAAAAAAAAAGTTGTCCTCTTTATTCCATAACATGTTGCATTTTACGCATTAAACAGTCTAAATTGGATAATCGTGAGTTTTATAAAAAGTGACTCTTTTTTAACTATATATGTTGATGACAATTGGAGATTCTTCTTTCTTTTCCTTTTCCTTTAAAATTTGTTGAGTGTGATTATAAAGTGATTTAGCCGCATGATTGGCCATCAAGAAACGCTCCTAATAAAGAAGATTTATGCCCAGCAACCTTTGGCTCAGTAGCATGGTGTTGGGCGTCTTGGGAGGTTGCCCAAGTTGGAGGCGTAATCCTCTCCTCCAAGTAAGCCCTGTGGACAAGTGGGGTCGGGTGGGATCCAGGGTTGGATAAAGTAGACTAAAGGTTAAAACAAAAACAAAAAAAAAAAAAAAAAAAAAGAGTTGCGGGACCCCAAGCAATTTTCATTTCTCATCTTTTTTCCCTAATCAAAACTTGGAAACCGGTTAAGGAGCAGGACAAGGTTTAGACCATACCCTATGTATTATAGGTCATATTTTATTGAGTAAATTATCACTATTTTTTATTTTGATCTCTCAAATATGAAAAACAAGATTTTGATTTCTAACATTTGTAACGTGACATATCATGTGGTATTATTTTCGTAACATTGTAGTTCTTTTAAAAAAGCAAATTTGAATATTAAAAATAATAAATTACATGTTTAGAGTACTTAACTTTCTGAAATTTTTTGTTTTAGTCATTCTTTTTATTTTAGTCATTCAACTTTTGAAAAAACATAATTTGATCACTAACTTTCGTGGAATTTATTAAAATTTTGGTTTTTATTATCAATGTCTCACTATTGATATGGCATTATAACAAATTGATCACAAATGATTGTGAAATCTAATATAATAAAAAATATTTGTTTTTTATATTAAATATCTTGAGATAATATTTGAATAAACTATCAAACTTTTATAAAAAAATGTAAGTAAACTCTTGATCTTTTATTACATAAAAGTAGTGGTATGAAATTTTATATAATAATTTTTTAATGAAAAGAAAATAAAAAATAAAAAATAGATAACAATTATTTCTGAAAAAATAATTTTTTTTGAGAAAACAATTTTTTTTTTTGCAAGATTAAAAGTAGGATGCGATTTTTTTCATAGTTGAAAATTACCTTTCCTAAAAATAAATATAATTTAAAATTATAATTTTTTGTAAATGTAATTCAAAATCTTTTAACTAAAAATATATATAACATAGAATAATTTTTATTGTTAAGAATTAATTTTAAAAATTGATTTTTATTAAAAATTAAAAAAAAATTGAATGATAAAAAATTAAAATTTTGAAACTTTTCTGAATTGTGATCAGATAATTTATTTTTGTAATTGATTATCAAAATTTAAAAAAAAAAAAAAAGAAAATCATGAATACTTTAATGACTAAACTACTGGCATTAAGGGGTTTGTAGGTTAAAAATCAAGCTTCATGCGCCGCTGCCAGACGCTACTTTTCCCAACTTTCAGTCACTCTTACCTACTCTCTTGATTGATTCCAAAATTTCAAGAAATGAGGGTCAAATCCGTGCCTGAAACTTCAAAATTTTATATCACTCGATGTGAGATACAGCTGATTTTACCTAAAATACTTAATTTTGATTTCACCTAAAATACTTAATTTTGATTTCAATCTTGAATTCTATGTTGAATAGTGGTGAAGAAACTTTTTTTTTTTTTTTTCTGAAAAGCAAAGAAATGCCTTAATTTGATTTCAATAAAAATATTGATAGTATTCAAATAAATCTTAAAATTTTTTTTAAGATAAATGAAATTTGATAAAAAAAAAAAAAAAAACGATTGCAAGTGAGAGATTTAAAATCCCCAAACTTTTAAGTATAATTTTGTAAAGAGATGTATATATCAATTAAACTTGGTTTTAAATTATTAAACCTTAAAATTTAGCTAAAACATGAAAACAAGCTCAATTTTTTCTTAAATAATTAAAAGTAAAACTATAAAATTTTTTATTTATTTTTAATATAACGAGAGCCTTGATATTATCAAATATTCTGGATTTTGCTAAAATCTTATTGGTTAACCAGTGTAATGTATAAAAAAATATACTTGATTTACTTGGATGAACTATGAATTGAATGACAAATACTTATTAAAATATTAATAATTTTAACACCTCGATTTTATTAACTCATCTTTAAAATTAATAAATATAATCAATTTAAAATAAAATTTCATAATCTTATTGATGCAAGTTTACAGAAATCGTACGTTACCGAGAGGAAGACCGTAAACTGAAAGGGGTTTTTTTTTTTAATTCATTTAAAACTTTAAAAATTAGTAGAAAAGAAAAAGAAAATTCACGTCATCATAAGCCTCACGGCGCAAATCCCAATAAAGTCCTTAGATAAAAAAAAAAAAGCAAAGGAAAATAAGAATGGTGGGCCCTGAAGTTGGTTGATTTTGTAGACATGGTTGCACAGCGCTGTCAGCGCAGCAGATATTCTGGAGAAACAGCAAAGTCCATATAACATCAAAATCGAACCCACTACCCCCAAAATTTTACCGTCTCGCAATCAAAAATCTTTTTCATTTTCCTTTCAAAAGAAAGGGTCAAGGCCTGAAATAAATGTACAATTACAAGCTATATAATTTTGGTTTGATAACTTTCAATCGATGGGAGTAGTTTGAAAAGAAGGCGGGCATTGAAGCACAACGTATTGGTATACAAAAATAGTATATTAGGAATAGTTATTATAAAAGTACATATTTAACAAACTTAACTACCTTAACTAATCATGCATCAACAGTCACCCAAAACCCAGACCCAAAAAGAAAAACGACATAGACAAGACAACATGGCAAAACAATAACAGAAACCCAAAAATTACTGATCAAGAGCATTAGGCCCAGTACAGTAACTCACGATGTGATTCCAAAGCCACTGAACCAAGTACCTTCGTCTGATACCATTCATGTTATACGTGGCACCCTCTTTATCGTTCAATAGCTGTCCCGTGTAAGACCCACCACCTCCAGTGCCATAAATACCCTCGCATAAATCCGCTATTTCCACGGGAGCCACTGGGTCTTGGCCGGCATACCAAGCGTTCACCAATGGGTTGGTTGCCAGCTCAGCAACCTCGTGTCCGATCACGCTTATCATCCCGTCCACTCCCACGTCACCGTTGGGTGATTTTAATGGCTTAAACCCCTGCATGTATTCCGGTACGGCGAAGGGATAGGCGCATAGCCCCGGGCAACGCTTGGCAGAGTTACCCACCCATGCGTATGGGAGCGTGTAGCCCACGATGGATGGAAATGTGAAATAGTGGAACCCACACACTTGGCCGCAAAAATCCTGGACGTACACGTCATCGGATGTGAGCAAGAGGTAAAGCCCACTCTTGGGATTTATCGGCAACGGTTTCGTACTCGCTGTTACCGCGCTTTTTATGACGGACTGTATTGATAAGCGCGTGAGGGATTTCCCATGCGAGTAAAAACGATCGTTTTTCTCTTCCCCCAAGCGCACCGTACGGGAGATGTTGGCCCCCGTTTGGTCCGTGTAAAGCTGTACGGTCTTCCACCACCCAGCAACCGAAGGGTGCTTGGCATTGTCGGCAGAGATTGAGTTGATAAACTCGCGGATTATCTTCTTTTGGGATTTCTGCCACCGGCCGTACCATATTGCGTGGATGGTGATGTTGGCTGTGAGCACTGGGCCCATGTGGTATCTCATGTTGACGAACTCTGATGAGCCCTCGAATTTCTTGGAGCCTCCGAACATTAAATCGGAGCTGTTGGATTTTAAGTGGGGCCATGGACGATATCCGATGACCGGAGTTGCTATCAGCAGTATAGAAACTGGGATAAAGCTGAGAAGCACCGGATTCCGGTGCATTTTTTTTTAAGGGGATTCAAAGAGTGGAAAAAAAAGGAAATGGGAGGTATAGTACTCAAGCGCTTGTGATGGTGATTAGGAGTGTATATAAATAACAGAGAGAGAGTGAGAGAGGGAATTCAGAGATTTAATTTTAAAAAAGTTACTGATAAAATATAATATTTTGAATTTTACTTGAGGGTATTTTGAAAAGGAAAAAAAAATTAAAAAATAGAAATGGATTTTAGAAATTTTATGGGGCATTGATATGCGGGTAATGGAGGACAGATAGATTCTTTAAAGTGAAGAGTGCAGACTGAAGAGGGGAGGTGAGGCGAGGGTGGCAAAGTGGGGCCTATGGGGAAAAAGTGGGCCATGATGATCATCACCGTCATCTGATCTGATCTGATCTGATCTGATCTTTTTTTTCTTTGGCCAAATGATCTGATCAACGGTTTGCTACTAATAGCGCGGGAAAACATTGGAGGATTGAGTGGTTTTATGGTTTGTAAGTTGTATGCACGGATTTTCGAGGGAGGGGGCTCCCTCTGGAGATGAACACTGCATTTTATGGAGCTACCAACCGGAGATGCATCCTTGTCTATGGCTGGCCACGTGGCTAAACTAGATGAGAGGCAGAGTGGAGTCAGGTGCTGTTTACCAAATCAGATTTTATCTTGAGCTACAGCTGCTCATATCTCCGCAGCCTTGTCTACGGGGGACCTTCACAGTCGCAGTCCCACGGCTTTGTAGTCCCACAGAGCCATAGTTGCTAGCTTACTCTTACCTATTACTATAAGCCACATTTGAGCCATCCCGAAAAAAAAAAAAAAAGCTTCAAACTTTAGATTAGCGATGTAAATTTAATGGTATTTTGGTACTGCTATTAACATGTTAATACATATTTGTTACATTTAGGATATTTAGTTGAGCCATTTATTAGGAAGTGAAAAATATAAATATTTGAATTTGAAGGATTAGATGAGTTAATTTATACGGTATTTATAAAATATAACATTTAATATATTTTTCTCTTTTTAAACTGTAATCTATTTTTATAAAATAAAAAAAAAAAAGCTTATTTCATGTATTACATATTTGATTAAATGAATATGACAAAGGGATCAAAGTTGTAAATATGGAAGTGAATAGGTTGCTATAGATTGAGATGATTATACTTAAAATTGAAATGTTTAAAATTAGAGTAAATTTTCTCAAAGGCCAAACATACCAGTATTACTAGTGTTTCTAAAATCGGGTGTATCAAAAGTAGAGACATTGTTATTTGCATTAACCCTTTTGGCCACTTTTTTTTTTAATTTTATAATTTCTATTTGTCTTCACTCTTCATGATATTAAATTTACTTAAAGCACATGAAATCTCATTACTTACGATCAAGGGCGAAGTCAAATATAAGATTAAAAAAAATCAAATTAAGATTGAAGTTCATAGAGAAAGAAGGATCAAGAATGATGTTCAGTGGACTGAATTGTTATACTAAAATGCTGTAAAAAAAATAATTCAGGAATCATAATCCAAGTCTACTCCCTTTGGATTAGCATCTGCGTATGATAAATTAGCTTTTGAAGATATTTTAAAAAACGAAGAATAAAATAAGTATGGTTGAAAGGCACTATAAAAAACTAAATCATTTTAGTTAAAAAGGGGGAAAAAAAAAGCTATGTATTTAAGTATTTACTATATTTAAAACTGTAATCGTTTCTACAACTAATTAATATGTTAAACCATAAATCTTGATGAATGACTACTTCTTCTAGTTGTTGGGGATGCAATTTATGACCAAACAACCTCATTTAACTCCATGCGTGCATATTAGGGGTTTTTGTATGCTTTCAAACCCTTTTTATCTATTATATGTATAGCCTTCAAGGATTCAAGCATTGTAAATTTCATCATCTGCCATCTACGTACTCTAACAACTAATATTACAAACTAAACTTTTATGACCGAAGAGGAATACAATTGATAGTCATGTTTGTACCCCTCAACTAAAAACGCAATCCGTTGTCCTATTATCTTTATCAAAAAAAAAAAAAAAAAAGAAGAATGCTAACTCCATAACTCCGGCATAGAAGAGTGTTGCCCCGTTGGCATTTCCGTCCATATCAGTCCGTCACTTTTCGGCTAATTTACGTTAACACCCCCCCTTCTGGCCTCTTGCGCTGTACAAATTGTGTCGACTGGGCCCTTTTTGTGGCTTCATAAAGCAGGAGAATCCTTTAAACGAAGGGCATTCTTGAATTTTCATTGCTTAAATGAGTGCTTACATGGATAGGGTTGGGGTAGAAGCCAAAATGGTGAAGAAAATAGAGGAAACAATTTTTATTTCGGAAAAAAAAAGAACATAGGAAAAATACAAAATAAAAGCGTCATAGATCCTTATTGACAACTCCTATCACGTCTAGGATGTTTCATGGCTTCAGCCTTTTTTTTATTTATTATTATTATAAACCGGACCTCTCCATGTCTGGTTATAGCAGAAAATACATAGGAAGAAAGCAATAGAAGACCAAACGATGTAAATACAAACTGGGTAAGGTTTTAGAATCTACGCTCATCGATGCTATGTTTCTTAATTTGAACTTTAAAATTTAACTCGGATGATTTGAATAGTGCAAAGTTTACTTGTCTAAAATGAAATGATTATTAAGAAAATGTTATGCTGTTTCTTTTATTAGGCATGTAGGTTATCTATGTGACCGATCTACGTTTTATATGAAACTTCCACAAATAAATCTTGATAATACCGAAAACACTTGGACTTGAAGTACTTGAAAAAATGTGGGTGAAGTAGATATAGAACGCCTCAGAGACAGTGGAATTTGACCCACGCCAAAAGGAGTAGAAAATAGAAGTGATGATGTCAAAAGGCAAGTGGCACCGGAGATGGGTGCAGCTAATCACGGAGTAATTTGCGCGTCTCCGAATCATGACAGATGGACAAGAAGCGCCGGTAGCCAGTAGCAATTCCACAGCTCAGATTGAGAGCGACTCTTTTTTTTATATGGCCCCACAATTAGCAACCGAACCAATCAAAAACACTATTGTGGACCTCATCTTTTGGGCTCATGAATGTGATATCACCTTCCCTTTTAACGCGTGCTCTTAACACGCGCCTATATATGTGCATCGGCTGCTAGCGAGACAGCGTCGCGGAAACTTTGGGGTGTTTGGCGGGTTTTTAGGTTACATGGTCTGCCTTCAGCCTGTCGTGACTACCATACGTTCGTTTTAGAGCGTGCGCAACACGACCAAGGGTTGATTCTTATAAGAAATGGTTGGGTCCGCCAAATTTTGGGAGTTTCATGGCCACATAGTTGTGGCTGCTTTATTCGTTTTCACGGACAGTTCATATTTTGATGTAAACGCCTCTATAATTTCTGTCCCATTTTAATTCAGATAATGATTTGCAAAACCCTTTCTGAGTACTTATTTATCTATTTCTATCTGCCAGCTATCATTTTTTATTCATTTTCTAGCCACGTAATTAAAGTGTTTTTAATGTAAAAGAAATTGCACCTTAAGAAAAGTGGAATGAATAGCATATATCAATATTTAAATTTTAAATTTATTAAATTTATTTTTAAAAATAATTATATAAATTAATTGATTTAAATCCTAATTTCATACGATTAAAGTATTCTAAAATTTAATTTTCTTTTATGGATTATTTCCTAAGCATATAATAATTAAGTTGCTAAGTGTATATTAGTATTTATTAGTTTATATCACATGAATTGTCCCTCTTGCAAATCTTGAACTATATATAGATTAATTATAATCTTTATCTTAATGCAGATCTAACAAACTTGTTATTGAGAATAATAATAGCGGGAATTGATCATGCACCAAAAAAAAGTGGGAATTGATCAAGTATATGATCATATAATTATATAATTATACAAACAACCTTAAGGATTAATCAAATTTCAATTTCTTCAACAATTCCAGAATGTCCCAATATTGCAAATACATGTTAATAGTATGTAACCCAAAAAAAAAAAATACTGATAATACAAGTGATGTAAAAACAGCTTGTGTGTGTGTGTATATATATATATATATATATATAATATTGATTTAAAATTTTAATCTATCTTTAACTCCTAACTTTTATTTAGAAAAAAAATTATGTATTTAATTTCTCTCAAATCCATAACTTTTATGAGTCTGATTAACATGTAAGTCAGTTGAACTAATACTCAGTTGGCAAAAGCTTGTGTATAGTGCTTAATAACATTTGTAACATTAAACTCTATCTTAATTATGATTTATGAACGTATAAGGTATAAGACAAGGTGGAAAGAAGATTAAATTGTAGCCGATTCCAACTAGTTTGAAAATTGAAATAAAGAAACAATGGAGTTCACGAGTTGCATGCCTCGGACAATGGCTCCATCAACAAAACTTTAGTGTTCATAATGATTATGGACGTAACATTAAATGAGAAATACTACATGATACATAGCCATACGCTGGAAGGCTCCTTTTTCCTTTTCTTTTTTTTTTGTCATGTAGAGAACATTTAAATTAACAAAGCAAAGTACTGCTGGCAGAGGGGGAAATGTCTATGGAGTAGGTAGGAGAAATCTATGGAGGTTCCACTTTAAGCTGTCATCTACAATAAAAGAGAGGTTTTTGAGAGAGACCCGGGAGAGAGTTTGATATTTTTATTTTTACAGCTATGAGGGAGTTTTGAACTGGTCCAGTCCCAGTGTGAGTGTGAAGATAAAAGCTCCAATCTGATATGCTGATTTGTTTGGCTGTAATTTTCAGCTTTATTTCATGAGCTTTTTGGTGGAAATTGGTTGGTCTTCTCCCTACCAATCCAACTTGGGTTGAGGGCTGTAGTATAACTTGCTTGTCTATTCACATGGGGGTTATAAATTACTTAAACTAGTTCGTGTATAAAATTAAAATCAAAAAGAAAAAAAAAAAAATTGAACTAGTGCTAGTCTATATTAGGGAAACTTAGTATATTGTTTTAATGGATCAGCAAAGTACAAGGCAGGCGCTTAGGGGGAAATTTCCGATAGCAAAATGATCAAAATGCTTACTAGTTGTGTCTTTGTCCGTTTCATTTTCAATGTTTTACATGATGGAAAGTCTTTTCCAAAAAATATGTTTTTCAATGTTTAGCAAGGCAGTGGGATGCATGGGAGCCTAAACTTT